AGGACGAAATGCGAATTCTCGACGAGGAGTACCATTTCCTGGGTCTTGACTTTAGCGATGGCGCTGTGTTGAGCTCAATCAAAAATGACTACAGCAATAGTGCCGGCATCCTTTCGCGTGTGTATACTACGCATTAATTGTTCCGTGTTGCGGCTCAAAGTCCTAGACTGAGTCCCGAAGTAGCTGCGTGAGGTCTTGAGAAGCAACCACGCAGGTCCGTCAGGTCCGTCTTGTGTGTGCGCCGCATCCGCATGTGCGAAAGCTTACTCGAGCATCATCTCGCCATCTTCGCTTCGTCTTCGAGGGTTTCCGCGCGCATCTCATTTCAATCGTTATCCTATCATCCGGTCAGATTCGCTAAGAAGTATTGAGACCATGGACGTGTCGCTTAGGTTATTTCCACCGTCTGTAGCAGCTGCAGAGAGGATGCTCTACTTCTTCGAGCCGTGATGTCAGCGCCACCAACCTTCCGCTGTGCGCAAACCCGTCACATATCAGGCGCCCTGCATACTCCCGGTCGTAAGAGCACGGCGCCCGCCGGCTTGGATTGGCTCGAGTACATACGCCATGTATGGAGTGTGCAATGTTGGCTGGATTGACATCTGATCTGCGAACCCTGGGTGTGCCGAGAGCCGGATTGCGCACCGTTGCCCAATATTTGCCTTTCATGGAGGCAAGGAAAGATAGAGAATGTATCTTTTCGTGATGCATGGTACAGTTGTCCTCGCAACAGTGGATGGGAATTCGTTTTTCGAGCTACTGATTCAGCACATGCGCTTGTGGCACTGGTGCCGATTCAGTCGAAGGCAACCTCGGAACGGGTCATGTGCATCATGAACATTGGAAGAACGGCTATGGAATACGGCTGGTACGACCCAATGTATTGGGCCGTTTGCGCTGATCAATCTTTGTACCGGTCCCTTGATTTTCGCAGACTTATGCAAAAGATTGCGTATTGGCGTGTTTAGCAGTACTGAAAGCGTGGCATCGAGATACCCAGGCGCGCAGGCACGCCCATAGCAATCGCGTTGTTAACAGTTACACACACCAAGCGCTGAAGCGACCCAACGTACTACACTGCACGACAATATCTTAACTCATGTAGAATAGATCTTCTTCAAGCAAACCAGCGCGATAGATGTCGTTTACCAAGCCGGAACGTGGAGGCCACGCAGCATACCCGCCAAACTGTGCCGCTGCGTCGGAGACGTCGAGCGCGCCTGTCAATTCCCAAGGTCCTGGCTCCAGGTCTAACAGCAGCATCATCACGCAGTCCCAAGCAACGCACCCACCTTCCCTTACCTCGGCCACATCCCCCAGCGCTGCATCTAAACACGCGCAAGGACCCAAGATCAGTCATCCATCAGATAAACCACGGTACCTATCCCATTTACCTCGTGCGGTTCTTCACGTGTCAAGTACTAGCGGTGGTAGTAGCGGCCATCTGCGCACATGCGGCGGCTCCGCGTCAGCGGACGTTTTCAAGACTTATTAGCATCACGCCACGGCTAGCTCGTAGAGGAAGACACCAGGCTCAACTCTGCATTCCGCCCGCCTGCACCGGCAGAGTTCCGTATCTGGGGTTAAATGAGTGCGGTGTTCTCGGGCTATCACTACCGCGACGTAATTCAATACCGCTCCCACAGCTCCCCATGGGGCGGGAAGGAAGAGTGGCGGCATGAACAGCGCCATTGGACACGAAGTGGAGGTCCTAAAGAGTAGAGGCACATCAGACGTTCATGGTAGCGAGATCTAACGGGGTGGTCAGACGGCTCATATCAGTGGAACTCGCAGATGCCGTGTAACTCAGACCCTTCGTGCTCACCCCAGCCCCCAGCGTGGAGAAAACGAGTGGAGAGACCCAAAATTTCCTGGAGCAGCAGGGCAACCCATCTGGGAAGCCCACGGATAAATAACGGGTCTACTCCAGTTAACAAGCGTACAAGCCTGTCGCGGTGCGGGGATATTAGCGCGCGTATTTTAGCACCGGAACAAAGCTTTGCATCGACACTTCTGATAGGTGACGAGCAACCAGCAATACGAAGTCTAGAGCAGACAAGAAACAGCCACCTGCAAACCAACACGCAGCGCTATGGATACATCTGGTGAGCGGTCCGCTGCTAGGCCAGCGTAGCGACACAGCACGACTCTGTCGTGACAGCCGCCTCGCACGGCTTGGAGGCCCTTGCGCAGACGGCGCAAGGAACCAGCTTGATAGCCAGAAGCCGTGATTGATGGAATCTGTCTCGTGCATTCCTTCCATGTGCACATAGCGCTGACGGCGGACCCACCACTCGCCAGCGACGGATTTTCCATCTTTCTGGGGAATTAGACAATGCGCGCCTCGGAGATGGGGAGGGGTGGGTGGATGGTTCAAGCGCCTCCGGGGGTGGACTACTGTACACCAGATGGCTAACCATGCCTAAATGCCGTTGCTGCAAGGTCACATTTAAGCCGCCCCGCGTTGAGTGTGCGCACCCCGTGCTGTTTATAAGGTGGAGACGTTTCCCCGGTTTATCCTTTTGTCTTCTTTGCCAGCCCAGAGTTCCTTTCTCTGATCTGATACCCTTTGCCTTTTTTTTCTTGTTATACCCCGGCAAGAGCCCTACTGCAAAGATGGGTGACGTCCCCAAGGAATATGGCGGCGATGTGCACGTCGAGAAGGCCATCTCGCATGTCGACGACTCGGTCGCGCTTGACGAGAAGGCTCAGGCTGCTATGTTCAAGACGCAGGCTATGGATGCTGAGACTGCTGAGCATGACATGGGCGTCGTACAGGCTGTTAAGGCGTACCCCATGGCTGCTCTCTGGGCATTCATCATGTCTTGCACTATTGTAAGCTCCTCGCTCAAATCCCTCATAATCAAGATGCGGCTGCTAACGAATATCTCTAGATCATGGAGGCTTACTGTGTCTTCCTGATGGGTAACTTCATCGCTCTGCCCGCATTCGAGAAGGAATTCGGTATCCCGCTCACACACCCGGACCCCGACCGACCACACGGCAAGATTATCGCGGCTAGCTGGCAATCAGCGCTTCAGATGGGAGGACCCGTTGGTGCCATTATCGGTGTCTGCCTGGCTGGTCCTCTTACCAGCCGCATCGGATACCGATGGGCGACCATTTCTGGTCTGATGCTACTCAACTGCTTCATCTTCGTTTTCTACTTCGCCAACTCGCTCCCAATCATGTTCGTCTCCCAGCTTCTCGAGGGTGTCCCGTGGGGTATCTTCATCGCCAACGCTCCCGCGTACTGCTCTGAGATCACGCCTATCCAGCTCCGTGCCCCGGCTACTCAGATGCTGCAAATGTTCTGGGCTATCGGTGCTATCATCGTCAACGGTGTCGCGTACTACTACAACCCCAAGCCCGACGCAAGCGCCTACAGAATCCCCATTGCGCTTCAATGGATGTTCCCCACTCCTCTCGCTATCCTCATCTACCTGGCGCCAGAGTCTCCCTGGTGGTTGGTACGCAAGGGCAAGCTTGAGCAAGCCGAGAAGGCCGTCGGTCGTCTTGGACGCAAGGGCCAGCTCAACCTCAGCGAGGCCGTCGCTATGATGCGCCGTACCATCGATCTCGAGAAGTCCATCAAGGAGCCCAGTCTTTTGGAATTGTTCAAGGGCACCGACCGCTACCGTACTCTCATCGTCTGCGGTGTTTACGCTGCTCAGAACTTGACTGGTAACCTCATCGCCAACCAGGCCGTCTACTTCTTCCGTCAAGCTGGTATCTCGGTCAACACCGCTTTCGCCCTTGGTCTTATTACCTCCGCTCTCCAGATGATCTTCGTCATGCTTTCCTGGATTCTCACCACCTACCTCGGCCGCCGCACTATCTACGTGTGGGGATCTCTCATCAACGTCGGTTTCCTCGTCGCTCTCGGTATCGCCGCTTCCGTCGGTGTTTCCAACGCAGCTTCTCTTGCCCAGGCTTCTCTTGGTCTGATTGTCTCCGTTCTGTTCACCCTCGGACCGGCGCCCGCTTCCTGGGTCATTATCGGAGAGACCTCGTCCATTCGTCTCAGGCCCCTCACCACCGGTATCGGACGTGGTGCTTACTACGTTGTCAACATTCCTTGCATTTTCCTCGCCAGTTACATGCTCAACCCCGACGTAAGATTTCTCCCTTTTCAAATGTCACAATGAACATCTCGCTAACAAGCATTCCAGGAGGCCAACCTTGGCGGCAAGTGCGGTTACGTCTGGGCGGGTACTGGTTTCTTCTGCTTCGTTGTCGCATACTTCTTCCTCCCCGAGATGAAGGGCCGCTCTTACCGCGAGATCGACATTCTGTTCAAGCGCAAGGTTCCCGCCCGCAAGTGGAAGAAGACCGTCGTCGATATCGGCGACGACTCGTAGATGGAGACGCGCCTATTGCGGCGGAGTTTTTGAGTCTGCGGAAGCAATGCGTTTTCATGCGCTTGCTGTCTTCTGTTGTTCAGGAAAGATGTAGTCGATGGAGTAATACGTGCCCTCTATACCCCTAGGGTGACGAGCAGAGACGACGAATGAATCATCTCAACACTACCTTTCGATATTGCGTGACCGATCTGTATAATCACATGTGAATGTATCTTTCGTGCTCTCAAATCATAGAAAACAGATTTAATGTAGACATCGCGTTTTGTTGCAGATGAATGCTCGCCGTTCGATGTGCGTCGAAACCCGAGTTTACGATACGCATGTGCCAAGCCACCAATACCCATTAGACTAGCGTCATACCGCTTTCACGTCCGAATCAGGCAACTTCACGAAAACCGTCGATTGCGGGTGCCTGGAGAATTACCACGGGATTTCCGACCCATCTGACTCCAATCTCGACCCCTCACCACAACGTAATAAGGCTAGATCATTAGCACACTCCGAACTTTACACAAGGTACTTCAACCCATCCTTAGTATACCTAGCACACAAGCAACAGAACATAAATGAAGCAGTCTCAAAATATAAACATGAATTCCTATATACATAACCCTCTCCCCCAAATCTACTATCACCCTACGATGAGCAAGTAGCCAACATACTAGTAAGCGCACTCTTCTCCGCACTCGTAATAGTAAGCGAATACACGCTCTTAACCTTGATCCACATCTTACTGTACGTGCAGTAGTAGCTGGTTAGCGGGGGCTTCCACTCCTCAGGGCCCTTGTCACCCTTCGCTTGGTTGACGTTGTCGGTAACGGCGAGGAGCTGAGGGTTTGTGAGGTCGTTGGCGAAGGCTTGACGGCGGGCTGTGGTCCAGGATGCTGCGCCGGACTGGGTGGGAGTTAGTATGTGGAGTTTGGAGAGTGGGGGGGGGGGGGTTGGGTGTATGGGTGGGGTAGTCAGTTTCTAATAA